CTACTAGATCTCTGATGCACTGAGTTCAGGTTTCAAAAAACTGAATTCTGAGAAATGATGGAGGTTAAGAGTAGGAAGTTTAATGAGAGACAGCTCTGGAGACTGGAGGGGTTTGCTGTGTACTCCACTTTATAGGGGAGGCTTAATAGAGCAAAATCAAGAGAGGGGTACAAAATTATGACAAACCATTAGGATTATAAGTAAAGAAAGACATGTAGGTAAGCTTGATCTAGTAGTAGCAAAGGCAGATGAATGACATCATTAACCTTGGTCTATAATCTGTAGTCGGTATTCTTAGTCTTAGCGTTTGTCCTAGTGGGTAGGAGAGAACAGTCAGTCTTTAATGAGATATAGGAAATCTCAAAAGGGTGGTACTGCCAGGTGTGTGGCACATGCCTGTAGTCCTATCACTTGGGAGGCTGAGACAGGAGAACTGCTGTGAGTTTGAGGCCAGGCTGGGCTATGTAGTGAGTTCAAGTTGAGCCTGTATGACAAGAAGACTCAGTCTCAAAAAACAAAAATAGTAATAGTAACGAAATACAAACAAAAAAACCTTGTATTCCCACCAATCCCTTAAGGATGTACAGAATTTGGCCACTGTGACTCCAGTCTTCTTCAGGTGCATCTCCGGCCAGTGTTCTGATGTCTTCATCTGCTGCCGACTCCCTCACAGGTCTGGCCCTGTCTGACTGCCTACTATGTTTTTACCTAATGTAGCTAGCTATAATATTCCCCCCTATGAAGAAGTACCCATAACTGCCATGTGGGAGCAAAGGGTAAAGACTGTCCTGGCTAATTCCAGCTGAAGAAGGTTGTAGTTGTGACTGGGAGTCAGAGATACTCCACAGAGGGTCTATCTAAAGGCCCTCAAGAGATGCAGGTGTTCTTGCCTTGGGTAGTCATGTAGCTTTAAGTCTGGAGACAAGGCCACAGGAACAATGAAGTGTGCATGAGCCAAATAATAACATCAATGGGACAATTATTAATACAGTCAAAGAAGGTTCCCACCATAGAAGCCAGTAGTAGTTTTTCATAAGGAGGATAAGTGTCCAGGAAATTCATAATTTGACAGGGCATTAATCTGTTGCTTAATATCTTGGGCAGCCATCAGGATATTAGCAGAAGGATCAGGGATGTGCATACAATATTCAGCTTACAACTGCACAAGCACCACCTCCCACTGCTGTAAGACTGTCTAATGCCCTCCGATTTTGGAGGATGGCTTGCTTCATTAAATTTACTTCTTCACTGAGGTGACTGACCAGCTGCAGTGTCATTTAAGGCCTGCTGAGTGTAGTTAAGTCTTAATGTGTTGCGTGACACTATGACCAAGCACATCTCTCCACCATCTTTGAGAAAAGTCCACGGAAGCCACTGTGCAACTTGTCTAGTGGTACATTCACATAACTGAACAATTATTTCTCCAGTATGTACCTAGTGCTAGGCATCTGAGGTGTAGAGTTTCAAATAAAAATTTGTAGATGAGCATGTGCTTTGAGAAGCCCCACACTTGCCTGATGCACGGACACCGCACAAGTGCATTTGCCATTGCTGTTAGGTTGCTCTTCTCATCTGCTTTGGAATGATTTCCCTTTTTTTCACCTTAAAAGACAACAAATATTATATTAAAAAAATTAGAAGTAAAAGATAGCTAAGATCCACTTTATTTTAAATTCAGTAAAGATGAAATTGATCCTTCAAAAGTAACAGCCTTATGAATCTAGCCAGCAAACAGTTGTATAACTGAAATAATTTATTAGCATTCAATTAAGAGAATGTATTAAAGAGATTCTCAACTCTGCATGGTTATTTCCATGACAGACAATAAAAGGGGGCACGGGGAGGACTCCACAGCCCCAGGAGATGAAGTTGCATTCAACAAACTGCATTTCTTCCCAAATTTAAGGTATTTTTTTGCAGTACATTCTGGAAAATATATTCTACTAAATGAATGAAAATGAAGGTACACTACTACCCCATTGTTATGGTTTGTGTATAGTTGTCCCCCCAAAGCCTTATGCAGTCCTGGGGCGGCTTCTGGAGTTTGTGATTGATTACTGTGGGTGTGGATGCTGCACCTGCCCTGGGGCAGGTAGTTTGCATTACAATGTAAGGAGGAAAGAGGAGCTAGCTGCTTGAGCTGCTGCTACTTCTCCCTTGTGCTCTTGCTCTTTGCCACCGCCATGAAAAGTTACCCTCTATTTTGTGCCACTGCCTTGGACCCAGCTGAGTATGGACTGAAACCTCCAAGCAGCTGTGAGCTAAATAAACCTTTCCTTTTTTTTATTTTGAGTGTTGGGTATTTATCCCAGCAATGAGAGAAGAGTAACTAAGACACCCATGAAGGTAATAAAGTAAAATTTTCTAAAACTCTTATTCATACCTTAACAAAAAAAGATATACATGTTTAAATCTTAGTTCTTAAAAGTATAAGAGGCTTTTTGTTATTTAGTTTAAAAAAGATTTTAAGTTCACAAGATAAATAAGAAAAAATAATATTCTGTTCCAAGGTGACTGTTCTCAGAGGTGCCTTGATTGTCATCCTCCTAATGTATCCCTAAGTGCAAAGAGAACCACTTGGCAATGGTGTGCAAGATTCACTGCAGACTCAGCAGGCCTTCTCATCCTGTGCTTCCTCTGGATGTGGTGAATCCAGTGCCTGCCTTCTGTATACCCGCTCACTGTCTGACCCACCTGCAGCTCTGGCAGCATGCTGGCTGGAGAGAACTGCCATAGGCTTTGTCTGTGGGAACAGCTCCTTTTGGTTGGGGTAAATAGGAAAAAATGCTTCTTGCCAGTCTCTTGTTCATAGGTATTCCAGAAAAATCTCAAATACATGATTGACTGCCAGAACTTTCCAACTATTCGTTTTCACAAAATTTCCAAAGGTGGGCCGGGGATATAGCTCAGTAGAATAAACGTTTTCCTGGCAAGTGCAAGGTACTGAGTTCAATCCCCGGCACTGCAAAAAAACAAAGACAAAACCAAAAAAATTTCCAAGGGGAAGCTGGGCATGATTAGTCCCATAATCTGGTGCTTGTTTATCGTGAGTCCTTTGTGATGGTTGTGATTAACCAGTCCTCCAATCACACAGGCCTTTGACTCATCAAATTCCTGCAGGACATTAGGGGAGTCTGATGTAAGATAGACCAGGTCTTTTTTTATGAGTTCACTATAGTGCTCTAGTTTGATGTGGATATCCTTCAAGTTGACCCATCATTTGTCACTTTCATCCATGTTCTTTTTCAACAGGCTTCCATGGCTTTTCAAGTAAAACTGCACAGGATGCACCCCTCTTGGGTTTTCTGAATAACATAACTGAATCTGCTTATGATGTTTTTTATTACCTTTTAAGACCATCAAATCAAGTCTGCAGTCAGTGATAAGGCGGAGTGTCATTGAGCACGTTTCCTGTCGTGTCCATCTGAGTTTGACTCCAGTTGACATTGTTGCTCTAATTTCTTCCTCTTGTGTTTTTCCTTCCACTTTTGTTTGCGGAATTCTTGTTTTTCCCATTGTTTCTGCATCATTAACTTCTTCATTTGGTGTTTAGATGCTGGCTCAACCCTTCACTTACTGTTGGTTTCTGACCCTCCTCCTGGTCTTCACTTAAGTCTTGCTTTCTTTCAGCACCAGAAGTCTCAATAAAACCTGGTGATGTTTCAGATGACATTTGATGTCCTGAACAACAATACAAAGAGTGGATGAGAAATATGGAACAAGCTCAGGTCTTTCTGAAGTGCTCTTGGTCTTGTTCATGAGTCTTCCTCAGAAACTTTGACTCCGATGATTCTTCAAAGTATTTTGTTTTTATTACTACAGGTTTATTATTATTTTTTACATATTTGGTACAGGGTTTCACTACATAGCTCAGACTCATAATGATCCTCCTATCACGCCTGGTCTAGGCTCAGTGCACCCAGAGGCAGGGCTAGTGCAGTTTATGATGGTGGGGATTGAACACTAGTCCCTGTACTTGCCTAAGCAGGTGCTTAGTCTGCTGAGCTATCTCGCTGGCTCTTCAGGTTTTTTATTTTAAAGAGAAATAAAAAAAAAAAATCAAAAACAGGATAATAGCGTAACAGTGATTAATACTTTTTTTCTTTTTTTGTCTTTTGTCTTTTTCAGACAGGGTATGCTATGCAGTTCAGGCTGGCTTTGAGCTGACTTTGTAGCTCAGACTGCTCTCCAAATCTCTAAGACCCTCTTGCCCCAGCCTCCTATTATCTTTAGTTACTGAGAATACCAGATACTGGCATTTAATTGTCCAAACAATATTGGCAGAAGCCTTTCTTTTCAATGAATTAAGAGAAATTAGTAGTATAACTATGATTAAGTATATATTAGCTTTTCTTCTAGCTTTTCTCCTCTCTTTTCTCCATTCCTCCATCCAGTTTCTGTTCCTTTTTTTTGTGGTGGGGGATTACCGGGAATTGAACTCAGAACCTTATGCTTGTCAGGCAGGTGCTATAGCACTGAGCTACATCCCCGGCCTTCCTTTCTTCTTGAAGTTTCTTCTTTTGCAATATCTGTTGTCCATTTTGGACCTTATATACTCTTTCAGCTTCTTACAGGAAGACAGTATAATCTCACTAGGAAGACAATGCAATGTTTACACATATTTATCTGGTTTATTTCACTTATAACTATGGTCTCAAGTTGCATCCATTTACCTGTAAAACTCTCCAGTTTAATCTTTTTTTTTTTTTTTTTTCCTGTACTTTTAGGAAAGGGTCTACAGGGCGTTCAGGGTCTCACTACTAGATCGGCCTCATAGTGATCCGCCTGTTTTCAGCCCCCCAAGTGCTGGGATTACAGGCATGGCCACCATGCCCAGTCTCAATGGCCCTCTCAGTGCGCCCCGGGGGCGGGGCTGGCATGGCAGGCCCAGGGATCTGGCCGCTTCGCAGGCACTTGTTTGCAGGTGTTTTAATCCGCTTAGCCATTTGGCTGGCCCTTGTCCTGTATTTGTGTAAGTATCCTCTCGGCTTCTCTCCTAGCGCGTGGTGTTGCGGAACGGAACTGAGGTCTTTCACTCCTGGGAGAACCCTCCGCTGCCCGTATACACCCAGTTCTACTTCTTCAACGTCACCAACCCAGAGGAGATCCTCCGCGGGGAGCGCCCTCTGCTGGAGGAAGTGGGGCCCTACACCTACAGGTGAGTCCGTGACTACAATCACATCTATAGCCCGCACAGTTGCGTGCAGTTGCGTGGGGCTGGCCGTGGAGAGGCAGCCACTTCCTCCTGAAGAGACCGAGAGGGCCGGATGTGTTCACAAGGCCGTGAGAAGCTACTCCCCACCCGGGGCTTTTAAGGTCATCCCTTTATAATCTAGTGACTCTCAGGGCCTCCCTTATCCCCTCCTTTATGTAGTTTTAAAACTAGTTTGTGGAATTCACTACCCTTTCATTTCTTCTCCCTCTTGTCTAAACCTGTCATGCTGGGTGCCACAGGCAAGCAATGAAAAATGGACTGGCCTCAGATGTTGGAGAGGAAGGTGAAGCGCTGTCAACACTTATTGGTTTTGGTTTTTTAAAACAGGGAATCCCTACCAACTTTAGGCTGGCCTTGAACTCACTATGTAGCCCAGGCTGTCTTTGAACTCTTGGTGATCGTCCTTCCTCAGTCTCGCAAATGCTGGGATTATAGGCCCGTTCCACCACACTTGGCTTCTAAGCAATTACTAAAGAGGTGAACGGACCTTAGGCTGGAGCATTTTCCCAATCACTGTGCTCCCTGTTCCTGCCCCCTGCTGAAAGTCTCTCCCCAAGTGAAAACGTGTGTGTGTCTGTCGGGAGAGGGAGCAGGCAGCATGTTCCTTCTCCCTGGGACACTCCCTGTGCCTAGTGCTTCTGGCTGCTCCCTCATGGCTGCCCCGACCCAGCCTCACAGGACAGCTGGGGCATGGGAGCCCCTTCGTGCCGCGGTAACACATGCGCCTCCGCCTGGTGCCAGCAGCTACTCCCATGGTCACCAGAATAGACATCAAGTACCCAATATTGCCTACTACCAGCAGGAATCCGCACCAGCCACCTTAGAACCCAATGCCCCACACATTTTCTGGGCTCCAGCTGGGGCAATGGCCACAAACAGGTTTATGGAGAGGGATCCCCTTAAACTGGAAACCTCTGCACAGGCCCACAGACTTCCAAGAGGGGCAAAGAGATGACTTTACATAGGAATTTTTCTCTGTTTTCTTTTCCCTTCATTTAACCCAATTTTTTTCTTTGCTCCCTATTAGTATGTTTTTGACTGACTTTTGGTGGAGTTTGAAATTTTATCACCCACATTCTCTTGTTCTCTTTTAAAAGTATTATTTTGCTTTTTATCTGTTTGAATAAGTCCTTGCTTCTCTCTTCATTTCTTGCTATTTTTCACCTTGTTTTCTTAGTATTTTTTTATTTTTTTTTCTCTCTAGTTCAGTCTCTGCTCCCTATTATTTATCCTTTTCCTAGTTGGTGTTTTTCTGTTACTATTATCTAATACTACGCATTCCCTTTACTCTTTTTTTTTTCTTTTGCAGAACCGGGTATTGAACTCAGGCCCTTGCGCTTGCCAGACAAGCGCTTATTCTACCGAGCCATCTCCCTGGCCCCTCCCTTCTCTTTAATAGGATCCTTTACATTAATCTTACAACCTTCTTCACATCTTCCGTTGCTTAATTTTTCGTAATCGATTACACTTTTATCTTGCTTTCATACCTGTACTGTTTAACCCTGATAAATCTGTAGGTGGTTTACTGTACTTTACTGTGGCTGAATACTGCTGTATTGTGAAAGACAGTAAAATTGCTCTACTGAGTACATACTATATATAATTACCTGATTTATCTTAGAGTTTGTTCTATATAGATCTTGTACTTAGTCTTTTGAAGTGTTAGTTATTATTTGTCATTATCCAGTTTGTGTTTGCTGCTGATTGTATTACTTCAGCAAAGGTGACACAGTTGTCATTATTGATTGTTTGTCCTTGTATGACAATACCTAGATTGTCTTGGAGTCATACCAATACTACAGTGTCCATTAGCAAAGAACTGGGTACTAGACCAAAAAGGCTGCAATTTTTTTCTCCCTAATAAACAGAGGTGATAGGATCCTGGGGCAGACCCAAAGGGCTAAAAGTTAGCCATACCTGGAAGATGTCCTGAGAAGTAGTCATTATCTAAAGAGCTCTAGATGCTAGCAATGTTACCTACCATAAAGCAGTTTGTGAGCCTCAACACAAAACAAAATAATAACAAAAAGAGTGTATGGTTACTGACTGACATCATTTGTAACTCAGTGTCATTCTCGGGTGCAGATGGAGGTAAAATTCCTGATCCCTACATCAAGTGCCCCAGCTCTGCCTCCTGAGTCAGGTGACCCATTTGAAAGCTACCTGTGCAACCACCTGGCTCTCTGTGCCTTGGTTCCTTATCTATGAAGTTGGGACACAAACAGTTCTGTTGCCTAACACATAATCAGGGATAGCTAAGTGTATGCTATTACTGTGGGTCATAGTGGAATTATCTAATCTAAGTCAACACTCAGAATTATAAAGCAAAGGTAAACATTTTTGTTTTGATAGTACTATTCAACCTCTGCATTGAGCTACAGCTTTACCCCTTTTTTAAATTTTATTTAGAGACAAGGTCTAAAAAGTTTCCTAGGCTGTCAGATTGCCGGCATATATAAAAAGAACTTTAAGGAAACGCTTTTGTGTATTTATTTGTGTGTGTGTGTGTGTGTGTGTGTGTGTGTGTGTGTGTATGACAGGGTCTGGATACACTGTATCAGAATCCTTGCCTCATGTTCAGCCCTTCTTCCCACCTCAGCCTACTTAGTAGCTGAGACTAGAAGTACATGAATCCTCACTGGGTCCTTTTTGTTGGGGGGTGGCATCTTTTTCAGACAGGGTTATACTATGCCGTTCACAGGCTGACCTTGAACTTCACTTTTTTTCTTTTTTTGGTGTGTGGCCAGCTTAACCAGTTCTGGAAGCAGGGCTGGCAAGGAATATGGTGCTGGGAATTGAACTGTGGTCCCTGTGCTTTGTCTAAGCTTGCCTAAGCAGGAACTTTAAAACACTGGGCTACCTCGCTGGCCCCCAAACTTCACTTGAAAGTCCAGGTTGGCCCTGAACTCACAGTGGTCCTTCTGCATCAGCCTTTCTAAGTACTGGGATTACAGACACATGCCACACACATCCCCAGTCTGGGTCTTCATTCTTAAAAGCAATTTTGGAGCTGGGGAGATAGCTCACTGGCATAAATGCCTACCTGGCAAGCCCAAGGTCCAGAGTTCGATTCCTGGTTCTGCATGCTGTGGCAGCCCTAGTCCCTGGGCTCGCTGTGCTGGCTCTGAAACCAGGTATGGTGGCACACGCTTGTAATCCAGTGCTGGGGAGGCTGAAAACAGGTGGATCACTAGGAGTCCAAACTGCATAGCGAGACCATATATCAAAGAATAAAAATTTTTTAAAAATACAAAAAAAAATAGTTTTACATGCTTAAAGAAAACTAGCCAGGCATGGTAGATTACATGTCTGTAATCCCAACACCTTGGGAGGCTGAGACAGGAGAGTCATAAATTTAAGCCCAACCGGGACAATTTAGCAATATATCCTCCTGTAACAGGATATAATTAAACAGGAGTTAAATTTCTATTAGGCAGTAAGGATAACAGCTCCAAAATGAAGCCAGGAACCCCAAAATTGAGTCCTCTAAGTCACAGTGCTTTGGAGCGCTCACAAAAACACTTGCCAGGTGTCTTTCCGTTGTCTGGAAACTCCCCAAGGCATCATCAGGTAGGCCCGTGGCTCCAGAACACAGAGGCCCTGATGGATCCTAAAAAATGTGATCTCCTATGGGGTGGAGATTATACTGTGTGCATCATGGCCTGAGCTGCTTTCTAAACCCCTTAAAACCCCTCAGTGTGCCTTTCTTGGTAACCTACTCAAAACCCGATCCTGGCAAGCAGGAGCTTTACTTCCAAGCCTTTGTAACTTCTACTTTCTCACCTATCTTTTAAATAAATTTACTTGCACCCTACCTCTTTGGTCCACATTTTCATTCCTTGTCACTGTGAGATACTGCCCTAGGCACCGTGGCAGCACAGCACGGGGCTCACTCAGGATTCTGAGAGGAGGAGGGTAAGGTCTACGCTTTCCTGCAATATTTGCTTCCACTCTTTCTGCTCAAAACCATATTGGGACCTTGTTAACCAATTACAAAGGATTAGCCAGAGTCAGAAAAAAGGGTGGAACAGTGAGTAAAAACTTAGCCTTTCTGAGATCTAGAAAATAACAAAAAAAGGAAAAAAGAAAGGTAGATCATCTGGAACTGAGAAGGATCTGACTGGAAAATGAAAAGCTAGAGAGAGGACTGGCAAGATAGCTCAGTGGTCTAAAGCGCCTGCTTAGGCAGGCACACAGGGACTGAGGTTGCATCCCCAGTACCACATGCCACACCAGCCCCGCCCCCAGGGAGGGCTGAGCAGGCTACAAAAAAAAAAAAAAAAAAACCAAAACTGAAGATACACAATACAACATGAAGGGAAATGACAGTGTATATTTTTTCCCTGACTCCTGGCTTGCAGCTCATGGGAGGAAACCAAACTTAGGAGACAAAGTGAAAGCTAAGACATTCAGGGCCCTCAGGGAGAAATGTGGCGGCAGAATGAACTAGTAGGTGCTGTAATCTGGTGAGGCAGAGGGAATCTGCTGCCATAGGAGGCCTTCAACAGGCAACAGCTGGTGAGCAGTTCCAGCCCACATACCTGCTGTAGCCTTGGAAAGTGTTTGGTCAGACACCATTCTGGGGAAGAGTTGATTGTTTGAACTCAGGGCTCAGAGCACCTGTAGGACAGCTCCACTTTAGGGTTCACAGTGTAACACTCCCACTGTGACTGAGTGATAGGCAGTCATGGAGTATGGCTGCAGTCGAACACACTAAAAAGGAACCCACTGAATGGTGTGAGATTAAGACATAGAACCTGCGCCTATGGCCAAAGGTCAGGCTCAGCCTGAGTTATTCTGGATTTAAATTCATGGCATTGTTGTGCCCCCTCTACTCCTACTACTTGCTAGTACCTGTATCTAGAATAGTACCTGTATTCTGACTGCCTTTTTTATCTATCATTATGAGCAGGGACATGTGTCGGTTGAGTGGTCACTGCCCC